CCCCCCACAGGCGGGGCTGACCCAGACACTGACGGCGCACACCCCTGGGGCACTGACTCTCCGTCAGGCTGGCTCTCCTCGTCGACCAGCAGCCAGTACTCGCATTCCCGCAGCCCCTCCTTCGAGGGACTGGCCGAGCTCCCCACCGAGGGCTCCCGACTGGAGCACCACACCCGCGGCCGGCCCCGGCCCCCCCGCTGCATCCCCCTGGGGCCCCGCCAGAACGTGAGTCACACCGACTCCGCCACCTTGCTCAGCCATGCCTTCGATTTCTCCTCACTCCTCTGCCGGTTTCTCACCTTTGTTCCTTTTCCTAGTCCTTCGTTTTCTCATTCAGTCCCTCGTTTTCTCCTTTCCGCAGTCAGTTTCTCCTTCATTCGTTCATTTTCTCATTCCTTTGTTTTCTCGTTCATTTCTTGTTCATTTGTTTTGTCCTTTGTTTTTCATTTGCTTATTTGCTTATGTAGTAGAAAGAGAGTCTGTGGGATACAAGTACTGTGCTTCATTGACAATAAACTTGGCTGCGTGCCTTCGTCCCTTAACAGATCTTGTGGTCATTGGGCAGTTCGCTCGAGTGCTGCCCTGCCGGCTGTCTGCCCAGAGCTGGGGCGGCACACAGAGAGAACACACACGTGCAGCCAAACATCTATCAACATCTAACCACAGTTTATTCATTTAGTCTCTCAATTTTGTGTCCCTTCTTTCATTCATTGGTTTTCTCATTCATTTGTTCCTTCTCTCATTCGTTTCCTTATTCATGTGTTCCTACTTTCATTCATTCATTTGTTTTCTCATTCATTTGTTCCTTCTTCCATTCTTTCACTCATTTATTTTTTCATTCCATTGTTCCTTTCCTCATTCATTCGTTTTTTCATCTTCCCCTCTGTTCTCTTATTTGTTCCTTTGTTCAGTCTGTCGTCCATCCTCTCCTTTGTTCACTCATTCTTTTCCTTCTTTCTCTCTCTGTCTTTCCTCAATTGCATCCTTTTGGACTGACTCTTGCTCCAGCCCTAGAGCCTGATGGGTAATGAGCTGAAGCAGACACATGCAGGTGGAAATTATCCCCCATCAAAACAGGAAGTCCTGGTTGCCAAGAGGTGGGACTTACCACTTCAACTGTGAAAGGGGGATGGGCCAGCCTTAAAGTAGGAATGGCCAGCTGAGCATTAATCTTTCTAATACTCCGAAACAGGAAGTCCTGCCCACTGGAGACGCTACTTCCTGTTTCCCCATGGAAAGGAGGAAGAGCCATTCTTAAAGTGGGAGGAGTTAAAAGCTGTATCTCAAGACTCCGAAGCAGGAAGTCTAAGTCACTGGAGGCGGGACTTCCCATTTTGCCTGAGGGGACAGGGGGAGGGGGAGGAGCAAGTCTTAAAGTGACAGTAGCTAATTCCTTGCTTCTTCCACCTCGCCTCGGTAGGCTCGGACACAGGGGTCCATTGAGCCCCAGCGACAGGAGAATGGGACGGTGCCGCGACTGGATGAGGGGCTGGAGGAATTTTTTAGCAGGCGAGTCCTCACGGATAACACCAGGTGGGACAATATACCCCAGGGGTGCGGGAAAGGGTGGGGATCACCCCAGTCTGATTCTCCTCTGCCCCCCACAGCTATCCACGGACCCCCAGAGGCTACGGGGTGAGACCAGGCCCCTCAGACGCGCTGCCCCCCATGCAGAAGAAGAGGCGAAAGGGGCTTTTCCATTTTCGGAGGCATCGGAGCCTCAAGGGGGAGAGGGAGGTTGAAGACACCGTGCGGGGGGCCCCCCACAGCTCCCCCGGCACCCCCCAGGGGACAGCAGATGAGCCCAAGGCACCAATGCAGAGTTCAGCCAGCCTGGATGAGGGGGAGGGGCAGGAACCCCGTGGAATGGGAATTCCCCTCCCCGGGATGGGGGGCAGCGGAGGAAGAGGGGTGAAGGGGCTGCCCCCCAGAGGGAAGCAGGTAAGGAGGCGCCGGGCTGCAGGGAGTGGGGCAGGAGGGGCCAGCAGGGGTCGCTGTGTTCAACTGCCTCTGTTTTTGTAGGGTCCCACTGCGGATCGTTCCCCCAACCCTGTGAGGGCGGAGTCAGATTCTTCGGAGGCGGAGCTACTGCAGCCCTCCCGAGTCCACGGCATCGCCCTGCCCGGAATGGGGCGGAGCCTGGATGGGAAGAAAGAGGTATGTGGGGTGTGAGAGGAGGTGCATACCTGCAGGGGCGGGGCCTGAGGACAGGCCACGCCCACTCAGTGCATCAAGGTCTGCAACTACATTAGCGGAAGGAGGGGATTCTCGGGGAATGGGGCCAGAGGATGGAGGCCACAGCCTCCGAACCCCTCATGGTCTGGACAGAAGTTGGGGAGGGAGGGGCTCTCCAGGGGCGTGGCCTGAGGGTGGCAGCCACACCCACTTAACCCCTGATGGTGTGGTCCCGACTCCCCTTTCCCCTCACTCTTGTTTCAGGGGGCAGAGCTGCAAAGGGCGGGCAGCCTACGGGATCGAGAGAGGAGGAGGTCCTCAGATGACTCAGGTAGGGGGGCACACCCCAAATTCTGCCCCTGCCCCTCTCCTAGCTCCCCCCAACCTGATACCCCCTTTTCTCTCTCCCCCACAGAGAAAGGGAGCTGGAGACCTCAGCCTCCCCCTCAGAGCTCCAAGCCGACATTTGCCACCATTCGAAGGGCTGAGGCCAGCTGGGATATTGGTAAGGGCTGCGAGCTTCCTCACAGCAGTGCCCTCGGGGCTGCGAACTTCCCCGCAGCTGTGCCCCCAGGGCTGTGAGCTTCCTAACAGCAGTGCCACCAGGGCTGCGAGCTTCCTTGCAGCAGAGCCCCCAGGGCTGTGAATGTCCCCACAGCAGTGCCCCCAGGGCTGCGAGCTTCCCCACAGCAGTGCCCCCAGGGCTGTGAGCTTCCCCAGGGCAATGCTCCCAGCCAGCCAATCCAGGGCTGTGAGCTTCCCCACAGCAGTGTCCCCAGAGCTGCGAACTTCCCAGCAGCAGTGCCCCCAGGGCTGCAAGCTTCCCAGCAGCAGTGCCCTCAGGGCTGAGAGCTTTCCGGCAGCAGTGCCCCCAAGGCTGTGAGCTTCCCTAGAGCAGTGTCCCCAGCCGGGGGAGGAGCTCTGGGGTTGCGAGCTTCTCCACAGCAGTGTTCCCATTGCTCATGCGGTTTCTCCCCGTCAGCGGAAGAGAGCTCCCAGCTGGACCGGGAGGGGATGGATGTCTCCAGCGGGGCCCCCAGAGTGCAGATGGGGGAGAAGCCCCCAAGCCCCAGCTTCCCGGCATCTGGAAAGGTGAGGGGGGCTGAAATGGCGGGAGGCTGAGGGGGTGAAGTTGGGGGGCAGAGGGGGGTATAAGCTGTGAGCTTCCCCACAGCAGTGCCCCCAGGAGCCCAGGGTGGAGTTTGGGGTGCTCTGTGGCATTACCGGGGGGGCTAACTGCTCTGATTATCTCTCCCCCCCCAACCCCATTCCCTAGCAGGCCAGGGAGCCGCCATCCGGCCCCCGCCCCCTCAAGCCAGTAGCCGTCCCCCGTGGCCGAAAGCCCCCGACTCAGCCGGAGAGGAGCCAGAACAGCGAGGAGGGGGCAGGTGGGGCCGGCCCCACCGAGATTCGGACCTCCCCCCCTGTCGCCCGCCCCCGACCAGACCACTTGGAACCAGAAGGTATCGGGAGCAGGGATTGGGGCGCGGGGCCTGTCCCCTCCGGGGGCGCTGGCCCCGATCTGGCCCCTTGGAAGGGACTGGTTCAAGGGACAGGAATGGGACACGGGGCCTGTCCCCTCTGGGGGCGCCGGCCTCGATCCGGCCCCTGGGAAGGGACTGGTTCAAGGGGACCGGAATGGGACACGGGGCCTGTCCCCTCCAGGGGGCGCCGGCTCCCATCTGGCCCCAGGGCAGGGGACTGGCTGGCTCTGGGGGGTTGGAGATGAGACACGGAGCCTTTCACCCTCTCTCTCTTTCCAGGGGGCTCTGAGGGGGGGCGGAAGGCGACCCCCCTGAAGCCCCAGCGAACGCGCCGGGCGCAGTCCTGTGACAAGCTGGAGTCAGATCGAGGTCGAGATCCTGGAGCCAGAGGTGAGACCCTGAACTGAGGGGGGAACAGGAGCCCGGGGTTGCGAGCTTCTCCCCCTGCAGTGCCCCCACCTGGGCTGTCTCTCTCTCAGGATCTAACCCCGTCCCCTCTCCCACCCCCAATAGGTGCCACTAACGCCCCCCTGCCGGACCCCCCTCCGCCCCCACCCTCAGAGCAGCATCAGCCCCTTCGGAAACCCCGTCTCCCCATCTCCCGGCCTTTCCTCTCCGTGGACCAGACTGGGGGTGAGTAAAACGGCCCCTCTGGGCCACAAAGGGTTAA